GGAATTTTTTTTCTGAGAAATTTCCCGTGAAAATTTATTCACAGGATGACTTGTGTTCTAGGCAGTGAACTTAGTGAACTTGTGAATGATGACTATTTTCCCCACTGTTAACAATGTGAGCTTATCATGAATATGTTAATACTGAGTTATTCAAATAAAGGTTCTGGTGTCTACATTGCATATTTTGTTGTGATGTTTTGTTGTATCATCATAAATGGTACATTTTGTGGAGCAGACTGCCTAATTTGATGTCATGAAATTACACACAAAATTAGAGCTCAGGTTGCACCAGCAAGTACCATTTTCAGCATGCTGGTCTTGTTTTCGTTCTGTCTCCCTCGTTGCGCTCGGTCGCGGGAAAATGCTCTGCAGTTTCCAGACAAAGTTTACTAATACTTTTTTTTCTCGATTAGTAAATTTACTATTACCTAGCAAATTCCAGAGAGAGCCCAGCTATTCAAAATGGACAAATGGTGGCCTTTTTTGTGCTAAACAATCATCAAATATCAAGCATTTCTGGCATTTATGGATGGATTTCGTTCAAACTTTGTACATATACATGTATTAGCATTACAGGTTCCTGATGCGCATCATTAATTTTTCTTGAGATCGGATATCTCTTAAATGCTTTGACTTATTATATTTAAATGTTATATATTCGTTATACATCATGTTATATATATATACATGTATTCAAAATGGCTGATTTTGAATGCTGTTCCAGAGCAATATCTCTCAATATGGACAAGTACTTGTTTGACGATCAGATACAAATGTCAATCCTTTTAATGTTAAAAAATCATATTCCTGACATGGTTATATTACTATAAACAAAACTATATATCTTAAATTTGATAACTAACGGGGACTGTGCCATGCATGGCTTGTTAGTTAATTTGGTCTCCGTCCGTGCGTCTGTGCGTCCGACCAGGGTCATATCTCATTATCCCTTGGACCGATTCCGTTCATTCTTTGCATGTGCCTAGTACCTTATGTGGGACATATGCACATGCAGTGGTTTAACGATTTAATTCAAAATGGCCAACTGGCAGCCATCTTGTTTTTTGAAAATGTTGTACATGTATTTTGGACATGCTTTGTCAGTTTTTATTCAAACTTGGTACATAGATTATACATGTTAGGATACATGTCCAAGACAATTTATTTCACATCTGGATCAAATATGGTCGTCTGGCAGCCATCTTGTTTTTTGAAAATGTGGTATTTTGGACATGCTTTGTCAGTTTTCATTCAAATTTAGTACATACATGTTAGGATACATGTTCCAGACCGTCCGTGAGTTCCTGAGTCTGTCTGTCCGTCCGTCCGTCCGTCCGTCAGTCTGTCTGTCCAGAGTCATATTTCAGAATCCTGTGGACCGATTATGTTCATTCTTTCCATGTGCCTGGTACCTTATGTGGTACATTTGCACATGCAGTGGTTTAGCGATTCGATTCAAAATGGCCGACTGGCAGCCATCTTGTTTTTTGAAAATGTTGTATTTTGGACATGCTTTGTCAGTTGTCATTCAAACTTGGTACATAGATTATACATGTTAGATTACATGTCCATGACGATTTATTTCGCAATTGGATCAAAGATGGTCGACTGGTAGGCATCTTGTTTTTGTTTTTTTATGCGGTATCTTATCTTGGACGTGCTCTGTCAGTTTTCATTCAAATTTGGCACATACATGTATTTTATACATGTTAGGATGCATGTCCATGACAATTTGTTTCAAAATCAGGTCAAGGATGGCTGATTGACAGCCATCTGACTTTTTGGCCTTACTACTTTATTTCCACAATTTATGTACCATTTTTATCCGTATTTGGCACATACATCATACATATCAGTGTGTTTCATAATCAGATCAAAGATGGCCGAATATTGGCTGTTTTTATTTTTGGCCATATTACTTCTACACGGAACACGTGTTTTGATGTAAATAAACAATCTGTTGTATACGCCACTTGGAACTCAAGTTTCAAGGACACGCTCGTTACAACCCCTCCGCTTTAATATGACGAGCTCAAAGAGAACTTTCAAAAATTTAACAGGGACTGTTTCATTTTCAATGACTTGTTTCATTGAGTTTAGAAACATAAGTTTCATCATAAATCACAGCATAATTCACAAATTATGGGCAAGGTAATCAATAGTTTAACTATGTTTTACTTTTTTACAGGTATTGTATGCCGAGAATGGACAACCTTTCTGCACCCATGGAAATACAACTAAAGAGTGGACACCAGCCTGGAACGTCACATACATCAGGGTTATTACTTAAAGAAAACACAGAGAAGTTATTATTTAAAAAACGCAGTGTCACTAAGACAGAAATATTACCAAATGGAAACTTGGCTTACAAGCATTCAGATGCTGCAGAAACTAAAAATGAATATACACGTCGTTTGGATAAGTTTGGTCTTGAGCAATATGAAGTTGAAATAAAACAGGAGCCTGACCTTAGAGAGGTTGGGCTACAACAGCCTGTTGTGAAACTGAGTGAACAGTATTCCAATAAAGTGTTTAATAATGAGACTACGCTAGAGCCGGGCTGTAAAGCAGAGAGTTTTACTCGTGACAATGAAGAACAAGATCTCACAAGTGCGATAGTTTGCAAAACAGTGAAATGCACCAAAAAAATTGATCACGATAAAAAGAATAAGTTAAAGGACCCGAAAAAATCACAAAGGAATGAATCAGTTGATGTTATTTTAGTTGAGTCTTCTGTTTCTGTAGAAACTCAAGTAGATTGTACATGTTCCAAACTTAACAAACAAACTGAGATGATGGAACAAGACAACCAGATACTGGTGATAATGGACAAGCAAAAATCAATTGGGAATGATCTAGTTGAAGAACAAGACAGCAAGCTAATGTTGATGATGGACAGGGAATACTCTGTGAATAATGAATCAAGTTGTATTATTGTGGATATCGAAGGTGTTCCTATGAAGAACTCTGACCAACAAAATGCAGAAAATCTCGACTCAGATCAGAGAACACCTGTGAGTCCAGCTTCTTTAGATAGTTTTGTTCCTGGGGACTTTTCAGTTCATACAGATAGTCAACTTTGTGAACACGAAATACCACAATTGGAACCTGTTAATAACAAAACAATGAATACCAATTCGTGCAACCCTGTCAAGACAGAAATAGTACCAAGCAGAGACTTGTTTTGCCAGCAGTCAGAGGAAGATTCTTTTCGAGAGAATCAAGCTGTGGGTCATTCTACGTTTTCTGATCAACAAAATACATCTACAATTGAACATACAATATTAAAAGGAGAATTCTCCCCAGATCAGAGAACACCTGTTATTAAAGCTTCTTTAAATAGTTTTGTTCCTGAGAACTTTTCAGTTCGTACAGATGGTCAACTTTGTGAACACGAAATACCACAATTAGAACCTGTTAATAACAAAACAATGAATACCAATTCGTACAACCCTGTCAAGACAGAAATAGTACCAAGCAGAGACTTGTTTTGCCAGCGGTCAGATGAAGATTCTTTTCCAGATTTTCAAGCTGTGGGTCATTCAACTTTTTCTGATCAACAAAATACATCTACACGTGAACATACACTATATGGAGAATTCTTCCTAGATAAGAGAACAACTGTCAGTACAGCTTCTTTAAAAAGCTTTGTTCCTGAGAACTTTTCTGTTCATAAAGATAGTCAACTCTCTAGATATGAAGCACCTCAATTAGAACTTACTAACAACTATACATGTACCACTGTCAATACAGAAATATTGCCAAGCAAAGACCTCGCTTGCCATCAGTCAGATGAAGACTCTTTTAGAAGTATTCAAGCTGAGGTTTATACTTCTTTTTCTGATCAACAAAATGCATCTACAAATGTACATACAGTGTCAGAACATGATATACCTCAACAGGAATTTATAAATAATGAAAGAATGAATACTAATTCATCAAATACTGACAAGACAGAAATATTGCCAAGTGAAGACTTGGGAAACCAATCTTCACGGGAAGAAACTTTCAGAGATAATGAGGATAAAAATGGTGTGGATGAATCTTCTGTTCCTGTGGAGACTTCTAGTCAGCAAAATGCATCTACTGATTCTGATGGCCACACAATATTAAAAGAATTACTTTGTTCAAGCCACCTAGCACAAGTTAGTACAGATGATAAAACAATAGCTCCGATGCAAAGCAGTGACACCAAATATTTAATGCTGCAATGCTTGAAGTGTGGATTATGTTTTCCTTCATTAGAAACACTAAATGCTCATACGAGAACTCATACTGAGCTTGATTTTGTATATTTTTGTAAGGTGTGTCACATAGGTAAACATATTCAATCACATTCTGGTTATCAACTGGCTGGACAAGAACTGAATGGAAAAGAGTCCGTAAATAACGGAGAAAAGAATACAAATTCATGTTATAATGTCAAGACAAAAATAATAGGTGCAGATGTGGGTTGCCAGCATTCAAATAAAAACTGTTTTAGCGATGAGCAAGCTATGAATAATTCTGTTACCGCAGAGACCTCTGATCAGCAAAATGCAAGTGAACTTTATAAACGCATTATATTAGGAAGAAAACTTTCTCCAGATCAACGAACACCTGTTTGTACAGACAACTTTGAAAGTCTATGGTCATGTGATGAAACAACCACTTTTGAAAGTGTTGCACATATGCAGTCTCATACTAATAATAAACTTGTCAGACAAGAACTAAATGAGGAACATGTGAATAATGAAACAATTAGTATCAACTCGCGTAGTACTGTCAAGAGATTAAAGTGTCAAACTTGTAAGAAAACATTCTGTAGCCAGAAAAACTTAGAAACACATTGGAAGTCATATCATACAAAACATGACAAACCTCACAAATGTAAATATTGTACGCACACATTTAAAACGCCTAAAGAATTGGCCGTGCATGTTAAGAAACATTCTCTCCAAGGCCCATATGGGTGTGAATACTGCAAGTATCGATTTTTTACCAAGACAGCCCAATTTCGTCATATGAAAACCCATAAGGAGACTTCAATTGAATGCAAGAAATGTGGCCAGAGGTTTGCATCACAACACAGTTTCACTCGGCATATGGAAGCACATGCTGAAAATGAACAGTATAAATGTCCATATTGTGAATATAGCTGTAAAAATATGACTCTTCTGAAAAGACACTTGTCAAAACACATAGGTAAAAAACACACAACACTCAAATGCGAACAATGTGGGAAAGAATTCCTACGAAAGTCTCGATTGGATCGCCATATGCTGATTCATTCTGATGTTAAACCCTTCAAATGTAAACATTGTGAAAAAAGATACTACACAGTTGGTAATCTCAAAAAACATATAAAGATGCATACCGGTAAGAAAACATACAAGTGCATTGAATGTGGGGCTAAATTTAGATTGAAAGCTCGTCTAATCAGTCATGTAAAGAGTCATTCCCGTATAGTGTCTTTTCAGTGTGATCACTGTGGACAAAGTTTCAGTCAGAATTCAGATTTAGTGTGTCACATGAGAACACATACTCGTGAGAAACTGTACAAATGCATTGTGTGTGATCACAGATTCATTACAGAAAGCAGCTTAAAAAGCCACGTGTCTGCTTTACATTTTTCCCATTCATCTTTCCGGCATGTATGTAAACGTTGTGGGAAGAGCTATTTAAAAAAGAGCGAATTGAAGAAACATGTGCGATTTCACACTGGCAAAAGTATTTCAAAGGGCTGTATCACACATGTATGTAAACAATGTGGGAAGATCTTTGAAAATAAGTCAATATTGAGTGTTCATATGCAATATCATACAGGTGTTAAACCATTTCAATGTAAGCAGTGTGAGAAAAGATTCTGTACAATCGGTAATCTCAATGTACATATGAGAATACATACTAGCGAGAAACAATACAAGTGCAGTGAATGTGGCACTGCTTTTAGAATGAAAAACCTTCTCAAAAAACACCACATGGCAGATCATGCTGATGTGTGGCCCTTTCAATGTGATCGCTGTGAAAAAGGTTTTACACAATCCAGGGAATTGAGTCTTCATAAAAAAACACACACTCAGAAAAGCTACGACCACACTTTGTGTAAAAAATGTGGCAAAAGTTTTAGTACAATAAGTTGTCTGACGCGTCACCAACAAAATGTGCATGTCTCTGAACGGCAATACAAATGTCAGCAGTGTAGTCGTGATTATAAATCAGAGATGAGTTTAAGGGAACATTTGCAGATTCACACTGACAAGAAACAACATCAGTGCACTGTGTGTGAGAAATCGTTCAGGGCAAAGCAATACCTTATTGTACATCAACGTAAACATACAGGAGAAAGACCTTATAAATGCACCATATGTGAAAAGGATTTTGCAGCCTTGTGTTCTTTCAGATATCACCAACAGACCCATAGAAGTGACAAGGAAAAGCTTCACAAATGCAATCACTGCTACAAAAGCTTTAGCACCAAACATATCTTGAACTGTCATGTACGACTACACACAGGTGAGAAGCCATTTCAGTGTGACAAGTGTGGAAAGTTATTCACAAACAAACGAAGTTTGATGGCACATATACGGCTGCATGACGGAACCAAACCTTACCAGTGTGATCAGTGTAATGAGAAATTTCGACTTTGGAAGCAGTTAAAGAAGCATGAAAAAAATCATAAAGTATCGAGTTTGTTTAAAAATATGGAAGGACAAGTATAAAATGTGGTAGTCATGGTAATTCACTACCTTCCATGAGACAGAGAATTTTACTTACTTGAAAATGCATCTATTATCTTAAAGCGCGGTTGTCGTCGCGCTGCGCATATGCCATATTTGTGTTGATAAACATTGATTTTCCCACAATCCAATGCGCTCTTCAAATGGAAATCACAAGTATGAGGTTTGACCTGGGCGCGACTTGCACTGATTACCACCACTGACTCCTTCGATGCCTTCCAATAACATGAAAATTACTTGATTAAAGCTTGGAAACGTCTCAGTTTGTACTCGTTGATCTGCGCAACAGTCAAAGTCGCCATCTTTGTTTATATGACACCCATTCATCTCGCACATGCGCAGTGCGACGACTACCGCGCTTTAAATATATGTTGTGTTCTAGAAACCATCCATCCATCCATATAATTAAATACTTACGCTCTGTATAATGTTGATAAATGCATTACGCACATTGCGGAGCTTGTTATATGAGTGATCTGTGTCTGTGTCAACTTTATAGCTCAGCCGTTGACTTTTTAGCTCCGCTGTCGACTTTGTCGAGCGGAGCTTATCATATGAGTGATTGTCCGTCGTCCGTGTCAATGTTTTACTTTTTTGACTTCTTCTTGAAAACTTGATGTTGGTAAAATCTCCTTTCTACTCGTAAAATGCTGTAAATCGTCTGGTTTGATGTGATTTATGTGAAACAAACATTATATTTTGTGAAATAATCTATTATAGTGAATAAAGTGACAACTACAGTGACAAATAAATAACAATTTGCATATATTTGCATAA